CATCCACTGTCTCCTTACTCTGTTCTTACAACTGCTTCTTGGTCCAAGTATAGGTTTCACATTAGCATAATCAAATGTTATGGGATTCCCAATCTTCTCAGAGTCAGCCATAGCTTGTTGTGATCCACACAGTCAAAGCCTTTGCATAGTCAGTGAAGCACAGATAGACATTCTAGTATTTTCTGCTTTCTGCCAAGATTCATCTAATATTAGCTATAATATCCCTAGTACCGTGACCTCTTCTAAATCCAGCCTGCACATCTGGCAGTTCTCTGTTGACATATTGTTTCAAATGTTTTGCATAATTTTCAATGGAATCTTGCTTGCATATGATATTAATGATATTGTTCGATAATTTCCACACTCTGTTGGGTCACCTTTCTTTGGAATGGGAACAGATATTGATCTTTTCCAGTCAGTTGGCCAGCTGGCTGTCCTCCAGATTTCCTGGCACAACTTAGTGAGCACATCCAGGGCAGCATCTGTTTGTGGAAATAAATCAATTGGTATGCTGTCAACTCCTGAAGCCTTGCTTTTGCCAGTTCCTAAAGAGCAACTTGAACTTCCTTCTTCATCACCATAGGCTCTTGCTCATATGTTATTTCATGAAATTCCTTTGTGTCAGCCAATTCCTTCTGATACAGTGATTCTGGTACTCCTTCCATCTTCTTTTGATACTTCATGGATCGTTCAACATTCTACCCAAACTATCCTTAAGTATTGCCACCCGTGACTTGAATTTGTTTTTCAACTCTTTCAGCTTAAGAAACACTGAGCGAGTTCGGCCCTTCTGATTTTCTGACTCCAGCTCTCTGCACATTTCATTATAGTATCTTGCTTTGTCATCCCGAGCTGCCTTTTGAAATTTTCTGTTCAGCTCTTTGATTTCTTGGTTTCTTCCTGTAGCTTTGGCTTCTCGGTGCTGTAATCCAATATTCAGATTCTCATGTGACATCTATCTTGGTCTTTTGTTCTTCTTCAGCCTTTGTAATGGATGTTTTTTTCCGTTCTTCATAGATGATTTTCTTGATATCCTCCCAGAGTTCATTTGGTCTACGCTCATTGGTGCTCAAGGCCTCAAACCTGTTCCTGAGATGGTTTTGAAATTCATGTGGGACAGACTTAAGGTCAAATTTTGGTTCCCATGGACTTGATTTAATTTTCCTCAACTTCAGCTTGAACTTGCATATGAGTAGTTGGTCGTCTGTCCCACAATCAGCACCTGGCCTGGTTTTCACAGCTGATACTGAGCTTCTCCAGCGAGTCTTTCCACAAATGTAATCAATTTGATTCCTATGAATACCATCAGGTGAGATCCATGTGTCTAGCAATTCTACAGGACCTGAACAGTCATATCCTGTGCCATCCTCATCATCTCTGATGCACTTGATGCCTTTGCTGCAGTCACTGTGTCAGGCCATATCGTTGAGGGTCTCTCTCTCTTTTGCTGACCCTCTGCATTTCCAAGAATTATGTCTCTTCTAACGAATACCCTCTCCAAGCAATGTCCCTTAAGGAAGAAAGATGAGTTTCACCATCTTTGCCTCCAAGAAGCACTCTAGCTGCACTTTTTTGAAACACATCTTCCTTTTGGGAGCCCTAACAGTGAGATATTTTTTGTCTGATGCCACAGCCCAAAGGTTTTTTATTTATCAATTCTTTTTATTTCATCTTTATTCATTGTTCAACTCTCTGATGCATAGCAAGTGATTGAGAAGTCTGAATCAGGCATGTGTCTTCAAAATGATGTAAGAATATATACATAAATATATATATATATATCACAAAGGTGTAAACCTGCCTTAAGAGATAAAAGGTACCTTCAAAGAAGTAATACATTTGAGTTTCCCTGAGACGGTGGGGGTGTGTTTGGGTGTGTACACATACGTGTTAATGCATAAACACACACTGCCTATTACTATGCATGCATGCACATCTATTTATAATCCTTATAGAAAGAAACTAAACTAGGTAATTAACTATTGTTTTCAACCCCCTTCTCCCTTATACTTTTACTAAGAAGAGCAGAAAGGTGTAAAACGCATAGTTAAATGTGGTCATGTAACAACCTGGCCAGCTGGCCAAAACTGGAAGTGAGCTGGAAGCTTTTTGAAGCACTTTTTACAGAAGAGAAACGTACAGGTTGCTTTTGCCCTCTTCTCTTTGTGGTGTTTAGAGGAAACAGGAAAATTATTGAGATATGGCACTAACAGAGCATCAGTAGGTGCCTTCTTCAGCACTACTGAAGGAAGGCTTTCTTTAAGCCATTTGGATTCAGATTATTCTTTCAAGTACAGCCAAAAAAACACTCCTAACGATCCACCCATAATCTACACAACAATCACTTTTTAAATTTTTTTTAAAAAGGTTTATTTTAGTTGTTATTTTAATGGAAGTTTACAGAAAAGTTGAGTTTTACTTCATTCATTGTTGGCACGTTTTTCTCTCTCCCTCTCTTCACCTCTCCAGTTTGCTTTATTCTTTAAAAAAAACCAAAAATATTCCTTCATTGTAGCACAATTTCCTCCATCCTCACCTTCTCCTCCCCCTCCCCCAGTCCTTTTTGCAATATACCTCTTATTCTGGACCACCCACTGTCTTACATATAATGCCTAATCTTATATTCCTTTTAAATAGTCCTCTCCTTCATTCATTCCAATACAGTGTTCATTATCTGTCCACTCTTTTCCTATCCTCCACCCAGCCCCCCATGTTAGTCCAGCTTCGTAACAATTCCTGCTTCATGACAATGTTGTTATGCGGCATTTGTCCTTTTGAGACTGAGACATTTCACTTAGGATGATGTCCTCAAGGGTCACCTATCTTTTTGTCATGTTTTCATATTTATACTTAGCACCATACTGCATGCCTTCAAACAGTGTTGGAATACCGAGAAAGCAAGACACATGAGTTTACTTGTGCTCGTCTGCTAATCTATGTGAACTGTATCACGTTTTCCCTCTCACCACATTAATCATTCTGCTTACACATAAGGCAGTAACCTATCTCTCTCACAACCCCACAGCACCTTCCTACAGATTCTGAGGTCCTCAGATTTACAATCTTTGACAAAAATAGAGGCCACATGATAGGATTACAAAAAGTCTTGTGAAACGCCCCACTGCAGATTAGTAAACACTGGTGAGCCCATGCTTCCAAGAATTGGTGCAACTTTTGAAACTCAATCTTGGTGGAAAAGAAACAGTGCTTCAAGGTGGAGGAAAAATGGAAACTGGAATATTGTCAGTGCCATCACAAACCTGGATGTCAGCACTTGATCTCCCTTACATCCACCCTGCCCTTGTGTAATTAATATTTTAAATAAAGTTGGAATTGTAGAAAACAAGTTGAAAGAAAAAGAGGAGTGCCGAAATCACTCCTACTGGCTGTTATTCTGTAAGGGGACATTCAGATGACTTTAAACTTGAGAATCGATATTTAGGGGCTTTACAGAGCACTGTTAGAAAAGATGACAAAATCTTGCAACTACAATCCCAGAGGCTCACGGTTTGAATCCACCAGATGCTCTGCCGGGAAAAGGAGGGGCAATCTCCTCCTGTACCAGTCAGATCTGATTTGACGGTACACTCACACAAAAACAAAAAAAAAAAAAAAAAAAGAAATGAGAAAAAAAAAGATGACAAGATCTGATCACCCAGTTGATGATGAGATGTGGTCCCCTGGTCAAGAGAGGCACTAAGTCACAGTCTGTCTGTGTGCGTTCCTGTGCCTTAAGAACAAGAGGTCACCTGTGCCCATTACCTGTGCCCATTTGACAACCAAGGTTGCCCTAAAAGGAGACTGGTTTGGTTTTGGTTTTATTCAGTCATTTTATTTTATAACATTAACTACAGTTTACAGTTGATCAATGTAATTTATTAGAATGTTTCATCAAATCCTCACTAACCCTTGCATTTATCTTCACTCTACCCCCCCATGCACTCATCCTTGTTCCCCTCCCCTTCTCTTCCCATCCCTGTCAATCCTCAATGATTGTTTCTGTGTGTAAACTTTTCCTTAGCTTTTTTTTTTTATACCTCAGTCAAGCAGTCATGTGTATCTTATCCCATATTGTTAATTACAATACACTCAGTATATAATTATCCATTCATATTGTCTTTGTTTTTCATTTAGGAAGATAAGGACAGAAAGCAGTCATCTTTTGAGAGGTTGAAAAAGCTTTCAGCAGAGCACATTGGTTATGTTAGGTCTTGTAGGAATGATACCATCTAATAGGAAGAACTCTTTAATGGAATCTTTTACTACCTATACCAAGAGCAATGGGAAAAACATCTCACCTTTTTTTTAAGAGGCTGATGCTATTTTGTTTATTGTTGTTTCCTGTCATTTGTAGTTGTTTTATGTGTATATTTCCAACTCTTTACATTGTATCAAACAAACTACATTTCAGTAGTTTCAGAATATGTTCTCATTCTTACAGTCAGTAAAAAGTGCTGCTTCATTATGTTAATCTTCCACAGTTTTATTTATTAGCTGCCTGTTCTTTTGCAGAGAGCTCTGGTGGCATAAATATTAGGAGTTGTGCTGCTAACACAAAGGCTGAATCTGTGGTGGTTCAAATACACTAGTTCTCCTGATGAATAATTTCTTCTTGTCCAATTACAGCCTCAGAATCCCCAAGAAACATCAACTGTGAATCAGTTCTGATTAACACCAATAAGTTTGAGTTTTATTCCTTCTTAAAGTAGCTTTTGACTTTTTTTTGTTTTTGTGTGATTTCCCTAGAATTAACTTGTTGCTTGACGGAGGAATAATATAAGGCAAGTTGCTACAAAGAGCCTCAGTATCATGCTAAAAGTATTGGGCAAAATTGAGGGATCTTACATAAAGAAAACTCAGTAGGAGAGTTGGAATTTACCCCCCCAAAAAAGCGCCATTTAGTCTTTTATTTCAATGTATATAATCATTTTATTTTTAAAAATTCTTGGTAAATAATCTCTACTGACTTTTTTAACTTTTTCACAATTTATTTTCTTCAGAATCTTCAACTACTGGGAGCAACAGCCATTGAGGACAAGTTACAAGATCAAGTGCCTGAAACCATTGAAACTCTAATGAAAGCAGACATCAAAATCTGGATCCTTACAGGGGATAAGCAAGAAACTGCCATTAATATTGGTAATTCATGTAATTTGAGCTTTAAATCTTGATGCTTTTAACAGATCGATACTTTTTAGAAAATGGATTTTAAATGTTTAAAGATTTGAAAGTACTGTCGTATTATTGGACTTACTATAAACTCAATATCCCTTTAAAATTGCTGTGGTTTAATATATAACCAAACATTGATTCTTATAATCAATTAATTCTTATTAATTCTTTTTTTTAAGTGCCAAAACAATTTGCAATCTTTTTCTTTTCTATTTTTTTTAATTTATTATTAATTTCCATGAAAATTTACAGAGACTTTGGATTTACATTCATTCATTGTTGCACTTTTCTTCACTCCCAACCCTTCCCCCAGTATACTACCCTCTTGGAAAAGTAGAAGAAAAATTCCTTCATTGTTTTACAATCCCTCCTCCCAGGTCCACTCCACTATGCATCAGTTCTTCTTCTGTGATCTTTATACCTTTTCCAACTTTCAGATGCATTTGAAACAATTCAAAATATACCATGACTTGAATCAGGTACACCTCAGTCTTCAAACTGACCTCACTGTTCTTTATCAGTTGGGAGAAGTTCAAAATTGACAGCAGCTAACATCATAAAACCTGGAAAACAGCTTATTTCCAAAACATCTAATAAAATGTTTCTGTTAGTGTTATTATTATACTTTGTTCACCTCTTTTCTCCAGAAAAACTATCAATTAATTTACTGCCTTTTTAAACATAGGACACTCCTGCAAACTTTTGAAGAAGAACATGGGAATGATTGTCATAAATGAAGGCTCTCTTGATGTAAGTAACATTATTGTTTAAGTATTTCAGTTATATTTCATGTTCCAATATTTTACCTTCTTAATTAAAAGATGTATTGCAATGGAAAGTCTGCTGTTAGGGACCTCTCCAAAGTAATGAAGAGCAGTGATGTCACTCTGGAGACTAAGGTGCACCTGATACAGGCCATGGTCTTTGCAGTCATTTACTATGTGTCAGAGAGCTGGACAATGACTAGGGATGATAGAAGGAGAATCGGTGCCTTTGAGCTGTGGTGTTGGAGAAGAGTGTTGAACATACCATGGACTGCTAAGAAAACAAACAGGTTTGTCCTTGTTGTTGTTATGTGCCGTCGAGTTGTTTCCGACTCATAGCGACCCTGTGCACAACAGCCCTAAACCCTGCTCTATCCTGCGCCAACCGCACC